GGGGGGGTATACAGTTTGGTCAAACACTCCTGATCTTATGGTAGGTAAGAGATCTACACCTAGCCTTCTCGAACAAGGGCGAAAAGTTGAGCACGTTTAAGATCCCTTGGAGGTCCAAAATCGATAAGAGTTGGTTTCGGCTGCCCACTCGCGCAAAATTCAAAGTTTCCTACCAACTGAAATGTTTAATGTATCCCGGGCCGGACACTCATATGGCCTTATGGGGTTACGAGCCCTTAAAACACTTACAAAAATAGTTTTGCTGGGGTTATAAAGGATTACGTGTTTGAGCCCTCAGTAAAAGTAAAGTCCCCCCTCCCCCCACCACAATTTCGAATGTCCTGCTTACCTAGCGCACAACTTCGAGAGGTCACAGTTAAAGTCACAACTGGGTTTTAGAAAACAGCCAGCTATAGTGTTCATGATGCGTACAAACATAGGGTTTTTTACAAAGTCTTATTTTTTTACCTGACTCATCCTCCTATGCCTAAACATATGGGTGATGTAGCTTTTTTGGAGAGCTTCCAAGCAGAGAAATGAATAGAGAACCATAAAAGCCGATGTGTGTTACAAATCAGGAACTTGATGGTGATCCCTCCTATATCGCTACCTCAGAATTACAAAGTTATCTCTGCTCAGTACCTAGTTTTGATAAATTTGACGCCAAAATTTTTGAGTTTCTCAATATATCAAGCTTTCTATTCTTTGAATAATAATATCTTGATACGGACTCCGAATATTTCTATGAATATATTTCATAGAGCAGATAGTTCATTAGGTTTTCTCACCTCATAGTCTTAGTAAATCAAAACGCCACACATGTCAGACAGATCTTTGTAATTCTGAGGTAGCGATATATTTCCTTAAATAACTATCATATTGTCATATTATCTCGTGACAGGTGATCGTAGGCGTGCATGACAGCCGCAGCATCTACCAGTTGAAAAAGCGAGTTCCCATCGACAGCACGGTCACTCGGATGCGGAATGTCAAGCGACATGCTGATGAGGTGACCTGTTGTGAATTTGTCTGTTGTTTTTTTCCGCCATGGCAAAGGTCTCTCTGTCAGTCTCTCTATATATCTTTCTATATGTGTCGTTTTGTTTGTCAGTATGTCTATCTATTTGTCCGTCTGATGGCCGATCGGTTAATTGTTGGGTTTCTTTGGCGCCCTGTCTGTATATCTGTCTGTCTGTCTATCTGTTGCTTCACCTCTTTCTCCACCCTCTCTTTCTGTCTGTCTGTCTGTCTGTCTGTCTGTCTGTCTGTCTGTCTGTCTGTCTGTCTGTCTGTCTGTCTGTCTCTCTCTCTCTCTCTCTCTCCCATCACCTTCCCTTGATGATCATTTGAGTTCAAATCTTCAGAAAGGTGATCTTGGGGAGTTTTCATGGCACTTCACATCACCTGGGGTGGTCCTATCGGAGATGGACGCTATAGTTGGATGTCACATTCTGGTACTGCCTCTTCAACAACTATATTATAATATCAAAAGGGTCGTTAAAACCCATACAGACCATATTGGGTTTTTTTTCTTAAGACGCAGTATGTACAGAATAAGGCACATCGGGAAAGCAGATTCCATGACACCCCTCCTCGCCCTTTTATTTCCTGAAAAAAAGAAGGAAAAAAGGGGGGAAATGTTCAACTAGTTGGTGGTACGTTACACTGGATTAAATCATGCTGAGGCACGGGCACCTATTTCGATACAGTCAGAACAGTTCAGAGACAAGACTTCATTTTTAATGCTAGTCTTCTTCTATAATTATACTTTAGGATATTTGATCATGATGCATAGTGTCTAGTTTAGTTTTAGTAAGGGTTTTGTGGAACCTTCAACACTATTGTCTGGGCAACACCCAATGGACAACCTGTCGACCTCATTACATCAAATCTAAGTGGCAAATTGCTCTGATGTTTTTGGGATACGCCTATGATGTTTAAAAGACCTAATAAATCTAGATTTATGTGCATATGCAACAAAAATAAAGAGGTAATGTAGATACAATTATTAGTAATTAACTAGTACAACAACCCGTTCATAGAACGGGGCAAGACCATATTAGCGACAGTGGCGGTGGGTAGTGAAGGGCTCACGGCTTGAGCCCCTGCCCCCCCCCCCCTCCAACTCTACCCCAAAGCAAATGGAAATAATGAAAAAAGCAGTTGAAACCGTTATGATCGCACGCAATGAACACTGAGTGATCAACTTGGCAGCTTGCTCATTTATCCAATCACTGTTGCCACCGCTTACAACTATAGTAACCTAACAGCCAGTCAAATGTCTTTAGGGCTCAGCAAAGATGAGCCAGTTTCCACGGGCCCTCGTTAATGAAACTCTTCTTTTAAAAAGGTAGAAGAATTGGAAAAAATAACACTGCACAGAGGGCTCACGCTGTCCTAGCCCTGACAATGGGGTGAAAGTTTACGACCCACTTTCCCCTTGTGACGCAGTTATCTACGCTCCCTTTGGACCTTTGTTATGTGCTGTCTACTTTCCTCGACTACACGGCCTAATCCAGCTCGCAGAGTGCTGTGTATGCATGTTTGTGTGTGTGCCGCTGAGATTTAACAGTTATTAATTACATCAAACCACTTTTGGGGCAACTTTTAAGTCAGATGAAAATTAATTAGACAAGTTTGGAGGTGAAGCGGTTTCGTCCCCAACGTCCAGAAGAATTAAACGTAGAACAAAGAGAAGGAAAACAACCTGACTCTTCTCGTTTGAATAGTTCTCAAAATGCTGTGGCTCGCGTGAGTATGTAAAAATCACCACTGTTTTGTTTTTATTGCTTGCTATTTGGTGGTAAAGAAGTGAAAGCATCCTAAGCCCGACCCAAATTTTGGTCCCCCCACCGCCACTGATTAGCGATAGAAACAGCATTAAGAGAAGACAGCATGTAGATCTAGATGACAGTATACAACATTATGGAATCGGAAGCAATACACACCATGCGGTAAAGCGATTTCTTTAACTCCTAAAGATGCAAATGCCAGACTTGAATTAAAAGCTCTTACGTTTCCTAAAATGTTTTGCCTCAGCGGTGTTTTGAGTCAGATGATCCTTCACAATTGTCGGAGGCGGTGGTAAAGGTGGTAAATTCACCTGTCCATTCATGCAGCAAATAGACTTATTTTCTTCCTGAAACCTTTTCGCATTGCAAAATCGACAAATTAATGTTATTCTGGAAAGTTTGTGAGGTGGAAGCGGATTGTCAGCGCTCTCATCTAGAGCTGGGGACACTGTTGTCGATTAGCCTGATCATGCCTTTGATTTTGATCAAGATCTAGATCTAATATTATCTTGCAACGGTAGATCCAGACCTGCTTGCCGTTGGATCTGGCGAGATAGGCGTCTGACCCCATCTCGAGATTGCATTTTCTTAATCTGTCTAGATCTGTATAGACCCGATCTCAAGTTGGCATCTTCCCCCACTTCGTCCAGCTCTAGTCACGTTTTGGTTTAAACTTCGCTTTGCTCTGGTCATGTTTTGGTTTAAAATTTCTTAATCAGTTTTTACGATACCAAAAACAGTTTTTAAAAATTAAATACTTTAATTAATTTTTGGACTAACAAAGTATTAAAAGGCACTACTTGGTGCTATTATGGACAACTTGGGTAAATTTCCATACTTTCTGTGTTGTAGTAACTTCTGTAGCTTTGACAGACCTCAGAAAACCTTATAGTTTTGATGGTATCATTCTAAAGCCATAACAATACAGGGTGTCGCTACAGGGGCTTAGCCTGAAATTTCCAGTTTGGAAGGGGGGGGGGGGGGGGGATACAGTTTGGTCAAACCCAAAACCGGGGTCAACAGAGCGCTAAATTTGAAGCACTTAAATGGAGCATGTTACTGGGCACCCCCGCCCACCCCCCTCCGAGTGCAGGTCTATAGACAGACCCCCTCCCCCTCCCTACACATACATTTTCGAGCCACCAGAATGTGAAAGTAGTATTATTGGAAGTATTATGCGTCTTTAGACTTGTTGTTTGTCGTTTTTCTACTGCATTTTCGTCCTCTTGGACCCATCTGAGCAGTGTAGTCCCGGGTCTTGTCCTTTTTTCGGGATCTTTAAAAATAGGCTAAAGGAGACGTCCTCGATCAGCTTCTTTGGAACAATATTTCAGTAGGTTTAGGACAACGCTTTAAAAAAAAAAAAAATTTTATTTGGGGGCGGGGGGTAAATTAATTTATCTAACCATGGTGATTAATTGAAAAAAGTGACAGCAAATTGAAACGCATGCGATCTCAAAGAAATTGTACACATTGTATTTTTATATCCCAATTAGTCGATCTAAATAAATATATACCGTCACCCACTAACCGCTGGACTAACAACAACGAGGTCTTGCTGCACACGCAGTCAAACAAACAAAAACTAACACGGACTGTAATCAAATACTAATTATTGTATAGAAAACACTTTTTCAAATTTGTCGCATATGTACGAAAATCGAGATTTTTAAAAGATCTTTTGGAATTCAGTGAGGGAGGCAAAAAATCAGAGCAATTTGCTTTTTAGATTCTCTGTAATGAGGTTGACAAGTTGTCCATTTGATGTTGTCCAGACTATAACAGGTCATAAAAGATTTAAGTGAAGATTAAAGGTGTTACAAGAAAGCAACATTTAATTTACATGTATATGCAATGAAAAGAAGGAGGAAAGATGAGCACGATAGATGTTTGATGGGGAAGAACCTCTCCAGAGCACTTTGTCAACTACCTGCTGAGCGTTTTAAACATCAAATAAGGGCCTGTTATGTCTGATCATCGCCAGACGTAGCTCTGTTTTCGGTCCTCCTCTACTGTACATAGTTCACATAAATATTGTATTATTTGTTTGCCTAGTAGACTCATGTGAAGATTTTACTACTGGTTTTATAAAAAAAAAGAGGCGTTTGTGTAATTCTATGGACGAAAGACCGACAGAGCATTGTTTTTTCCGTGCTTGTTACGCGCTCCAACAATCATAGAAGTTCCTCAGCATCCGTAAAAGACGGCAGATAGAGATAACTAGTAACACACGGACTTGCTAAGGAACTGTACTGCTTACATGCTTACATATTACCTTGGCGCAAGGTTGTTGTTTTTTTTTCCTTTAAACCACAAACGTTCACGCCAAAATATTGGTGCTGGATGTGACATTGATTGTATATATTATTATAGATAACACTGATCTACAAATTTTCAAAAAGTTTCAGTTTCAGGGCTCAAACATCACTTTGTATATTATATGTATACTCTCTGAAAAAGTAACTGCCCATAGATTTCAGGTGGGCGCGCAAAATTTGTTAATACTCGATTACGAAAAGCGCCCACAAACATAAAATAAAAGAAGTCAGAAACAAACACTAGCCAAATATTATTTCAAAATGAGGTCGTCGCTGGCGCCTCAACTGTCATTTCTGTGTCAAAAGCGTCGTAAAAACTATGCTATACAATGCAAAAGTCCACTCGCTTTAATTAAACATAATAGGATATTCAACAGTGGTAACCTGACTTAAAAATTGCTCTTTGGGATAACCCAAACGATGCTGACACTCATAGAGAGTTTGGCGGTACATTAATATTAATAAGACGGCACATCTCAAATGTGCACCCACGAAACATAGCCCACAGTTGGCAGTCTAAAATTAAACGTGATAGACTGAAAACTATTCTATGTCAAAATTATGTGGTCCCCGGAGCAATTCAGCACAAGTAAATTGTGATTGGTTCATTGTCTTGCCACTACGTGTATTTTAAGCGACTCTGTGACCGTGAACCTGAGGGAGGTGAACGTGACATACTTAAGTCATCGTCCTGCGTCCTGTGAGTTGTACCTTTGAATCGTTTCGTAGTGGAGTGTTGAAATTTAATACTTGAGTGTTCAGTTCCAATGCAGAAAGAAGGAATTGATGTTTAGTTAACAAACAGATTTAGTTCTAGAAATCAAAGCGGCAATCAATTTACTATGCCTTTGACTATCTTCAACCTGCTATAGTTTAATTGTGCACTCCCACTTTTGTTTGTTTAGTTTAGTATAGGGTTTTACGGCGCTCGCAACTGCATAAGGTCATATGAGCGCGCGGGACACACCTAATACTTTTTTGTTGGTAGGAAATTTTGAATTTCGCCCGGGTGGCGGCCGAAGCCTACTCTTATCGATTTTAGACCACCAAGGGATCTTTAACGTGCGCAACTTGCACACGGGCCCTCCGAAATTTTTCGCCCTTGTCCGAGAAGGCTAGGTGTAGATCTTTCCTACCAGAAGATCAGGGGTGTGGCAGAAAGACAGCAGTTAGGAGGAGCCAGGGAGTAGCAGTAGAAAGGCTGCAGAAAGAGTCAGGAGCCCAGAGGAGGGGGCAAAGGGGGTGAGGCGGTGGGGGCAGAAAGTGGAAATGAAAGCAGACAACAGAACATTGTTAGAGATCAGGAAAGGATGTGAAAGGAGACAATTTTAGAGAAGAAAATTTTTTGGTCGCTACCCGGAATCGAACCCGGGACCTTTGAATGAGAGGCCAACACCTTAACCTCTAGGCCACGAGAGCCCCCTCCCACTTTTTAGCCCCACGAGCCGCCCCAAAGTTTGAAAACACGATTTGAGGAATATTGCAAGCATTGCTTCAGAACGTGATTTCAATAACAAGTAGATCTATGCCCGCTTTGTGCAGCAACCAAGAAATCTTCATGAATTGGCGCAAGCTTTACATGAGAAGCGGACCAACCTGCCTCAATTCAAGATTCAACGAATAATTAGCTCAACGAGACGAAGATGACATAACCTTTCCAAAATTAGACATGAAATCTATGAACAGTTACAACAAAAATTATAGTGAAATTTGACGTTTAGGTCCAGCTTTCATAATTCACAAATAACAGAAGAGGACAAAAAGTAACTCATTTCTTGGCTTATCTCTTGCATTCAAGTTCTGCATCATTTTTTTCAACAAACCAACTGGAACGTGCTAACACACTATAACCCCATTTGCCCTGGAGCCAATTTCCATAATTATCGTCCCCATGTTCATCGCTCACAGCACCACACTAATAAGATCGTCCATACCGTTGCTTGAAACCAGGTTGCCTTCATTATAATGTGCAAATAAGCCGACAATCCTCATCACGATTCCACACCGTCAGTAAGCAAATTCCAGTGCTGGGGCCTTGGACCCAACAAAGATTCACCGATGCGTTTTGGCAGTTCTTAACCCTTGGAAAGTCGTTCAGTTCATTTCATTATGGGAATTCTTGCAATAGACATCAATTAGTTGAAAATGAGGTTAATTTGACACGCGTTTATTGTTCCCTGTCTTTCGAGTCAGTATCGTCTCTGGCTCGACGGAATCGGTTAACCTTCGGTGTCTTGTAATGGGACGTCGGGCATAAAGAATATCATGATTATGAACTTTACTCTTCTGATTTCTCAAGTCCTCTTCTAATAATATTGGTTGATACACAAGTCGCAATCATTTTATAACTTAGCTTTAGTCTAAAAGAGACACTTTTCGCATGCAGTAATGACTCGAACTGAATGCAATGAAGGTGGTTCACGGTGTTTCTCATTCAATATCCAAAACATTATTTCGCCAAAATGTTCCCTCACTCCCCTTTCACTGTCGCACCCCTCCCCCTCCCCTTTCCACCCCCAAACACTTTCTTTCTCTCTCTCTTTCTCCCCCCCTCCTCTCTCTCTCTCTCTCTCTCTCTCTCTCTCTCTGT